ATGCTTGTTTTGTGTTCTGTGTTCTGGGATTTATGAGTGATTGTTTTTGTTGTGTGTGTTTGCATGTGTGTATGCTTGTGCGTGTGTGTGTGCGTGCGTGCGAGTGTGTGCGAGTGTGTGCGAGTGTGTGCGAGTGTGTGCGAGTGTGTGCGTGTGTGCGATGTGTGCGTGCGTGCGTGCGTGCGTGCGTGCGTGCGTGCGTGCGTGCGTGCGTGTGTGTGTGAGTGTGTGGTGTGTGAGTGGTGTGAGTGTGTGTGTGTGTGTGTGTGTGTGTGTGTGTGTGTGTGTGTGTGTGTGTGTGTGTGTGTGTGTGTGTGTGTGTGTGTGTGTGTGTGTGTTGTGTGTGTGTGTGTGTGTGCGTTCATGCATGCGTGTGTGGTTGTGTGCGCGTGTATGTTTCTGTGTCTGTGTCTGTGTGGATCTGTATGTGTCTGTGTGTACATGTGTGCATGTGTGAGTGTGTGCTTGCATACACGTATCTGTGTCTGTTTGAGTCTGTGTAAGTCTGTGTCTGCATCCATGTATCTGTGTATCTGTGTATCTGTGTATTGTGTTATGTTTGCATGTGTGTTTGCATCTATGTTGTGCTGTGTTTGGGTGTGTGTTTCTTTGTTTTAAGTATTCCTAAAAATGATTTTTTTATACAATTATAGTACTAGTCTGTAGTGCCAGACTGTAAAGAAAAAAATATCCAAAATGACTCATGATGTTTTGATCATTTTTGCTTGTAGGTAAACTGTTGATGTGGCAGTACTAACAAATAATATCTTGATTATCAGTCCTTTATATGTCCTATAGATATTTTGTGGTAAGGAATGCAGAAGAACAAATATATTGATTAAAGATATTAATGAGCTAACTGTATATAAGGAGCTATCTTTGAGGTGAATATATTTTGTGAAGAAATTGAAATGCTGTGAATTAGGTCTCACTTTCAGAGGGTTATAGCTTATGTACTTTGAAATTATAAACTTCATATTACTAGTACATAGTGTAAGTTCCTTGTGATTTTTTTTTTTTTTACTGTAATAATTTCAGTAGGCCTGTAAAGTACCAGTAAGTGTAACCAGGTACACCTTTCGTTAGGCAGATTCTAATGTTTACAGTGAGGGAACTTTTCCTTTCGGAGTGACTGAGAGAAATGGACCAGATAAACTTTGGCCTGTCATTATGTTTGCTTGTCTTATTAATCTACCAGCGCAATGGGAGAAGATTGGCTTTACCATGACTGGAAAAAAAAAGAAAGAAAGAAAATATTGAAATGTTGCCATGTTTCCTGCAGTAGCAAACAGACCCATTTCCCATGCATTTGATTCCTGGCTTTAGCGAGTATGCCCTGAGAACAAAATGAGAAGGGCCATGCCTGAGCGCTTTTATTTACGCTGGCCAATGTTTTTGACGGCAGATAACCCTTCTTGCTGCCTGATTCGCGACTGATTTTTCATGGTGTCTGTGAGCATGAGCTGTAACCATATCAAGTTGAGGATAGCTTATTTTATTCCATCTATTGTGTTATAACCAATGATTGATTTCTAGAATGAAGTTTAATTTCCGCTACTTCGTAACTTAGTTCTGAAGTGTCACTTTGTTGGGCGAGAATCAATTTCAGAAGTATTATTGCATGATTCTACCATTTTGTGAGAATGTTTGGCAATATATGCTGAGTAAGTTTGAAGCTAAAAGACCTCAAAAAGTAAAGAGATAAACAGTAAAAGTCATTAGGCTTATACACCACAAGAATTTTGTTTGCTTGACACGTAAAAAAAGATTATCCCTCCATAAGCTCATTAGTTAGGTAAAGGGAAGTACACTGTGCTAGATTTTGGAAATGCTTGCAGTGCCACACCGGTAGTTGTCGTACCCTTAATGTAGGCATTTAACATTGGGTTTAGAATGCCAGATTTCCAGAATTATCAAAATATGTAAATATTTAGATGCTATATGGACAGTATTCTTGCAAGCATGAAGTGATAAATGAATAAATGTCACTACCATCATTGCTGAAATGTTACATTTATTATAAGACAATATAATTACTGCAGTTACTTTTGCTAAAGAAAAAATAGAGAGAGAGAGAGAAAAGATAAGAAAGAAAAATAAGAAAGTAAGTGATTTTAATCAGGTATTTTTTTCTAAGAAAGATAATCAAACTATGAGTATGGAATTCAAAGAACTCTAGATGTTTAAGTTGACTCTTGGAGTGTGCTAGATTATTCAACTTACACACACTTTCTAAAAATGACAAGATCTCCCTTTTATCATAACCCACAGGATAACCCAATACCATAACTGAGTGTAGCTTTATGCCAATTAAATGGTGATCTGCAGATTTCAGTGTGTCTCACGAAATTCTCTTTGGGGTTTGCTCAGGAGAGTGCATATATTATTGATGATATATATCTAGGATTCCCTTGCTATGTTCCCACCATTACATAGGCAAATTGCTGTTTAGGATGAAACAAAGATGCCCCTTTCAAAATAATGCAGTGTATATTTGTATATATGTATCCTCATATTTCTATACATATATTTTTTCTGAATCAGATAAGGTAATATATATTTTTTTAATTCCTGAATGGTTATAAGCTTGTTTATATTCTTTTTTTTTTTTTTTTTTTTTTAGTAAATTCTTGAGCAGTGAATTGTAAAATGTATAGATACAAGTGAGTTATCATTTGATTTGATTGAGGTTCCCCATTATATCTTGGAATATCCAAATTTTTATTCACTCTACTCTCATTCATGAAATGTATGCCAGTGCATCCTCCGCAAAAGAATGCAAAAATAAAGTTCAGAAGTAAAGTAAAATGAAATAAAGTAAGAAAAAAATATAAAAAGAAGGAGAAAAAGACAATAAGAAGTGACATCAAAGTTAACATCACACACACACACAAAAAAAAAAAAAAGAAAAAAAAAGAAAGATGCACAAACTAACCCTATAAGCCAGAGAAAAAGCTGTACGACTCCCTCCTCTTTTTTTTTCTCTCTCTTTTTTCCAGTTTCTCAAAGGTTGTCCTCTGAAAGGCTTTGGCGCCTGGACTACATTTCAGAGAGTAGTTGTTATCTCTGGACTTATATTCATCATTTTCTCCTTGTATTTAATAGCATCCCCCCCACCTCCCCACTCCCCCCCAACTCTATGTCACCCTGTATTATTAATGGTGAGTGAATTTACTGCCCCCTTTTCTTGTATTTGTTAGATATCCGGTAATGGCCCTTAACCACCCCTGAAAAAAATAGGAAAAAAAAAAAAGAGAATCTTTTCTTTTCCTTTCTGTTTCTTCTGTCTCTTGCTTTACCTTGATCTTTTTTTTATGTATGAGACTACTACTTCTCATCATTTAAAAAGATAAAAAGAGTTGAAAGTGGCTGGTTCGGGGGTTACAATTTTACCGCTATACAACGGCCCTGGTTCCCCCCCCCCTCACCTTACAGTAATACACCACTTGAAATGGCTGGTGGGGCATGATTGCTATCTAGGCCTCCGTTCCCCATCGCCTTACACGAAGCCAAGTACGTGAGTGGTCTCTGGGGGTTGCCTTAAAGTCATGTAAGCTCCTGATAACCGCTCTCTCCATCTTTATAAGCCATAGTTAGTATAGAGTTTTGGTCATTTTTTTTCTTTTTTTTTTTTTGTTAGTTTTTTTGTGTATCTTATCACTCACTTGTGAATGAAAGCATAAAACTGTTATTGGTTTTAATGTCATTTTTAAATACACATATTTGTTTGATTCATTTCCCCCTTTTCTTCATCTAAATATGTTTTTTTAAATATATTTTTAAAAAACTTAAATACGTTTACATAAATGTACTAAACGGTTATATTCCTCACTCCACTGCATGTTAGAATGACCTTAACCCTTTTGAGTGCACAACACGGAATTTCAAATTAACCAGGTAGACATGAAGAGGGGCAATGATATCATTTACATGTACCATGGGAGAGTATTATCGAGTTCATCTGATTGACTGTAACGATTTGTATGTTAAGCAATCTTTATGCTCTATATTTATAAAAAAAACAATATGGTCAAGATTTAAAATTATGACATTAGATATGAATTAACCCCTCATCTTTAAGCCTTTTTTTTTTTTGGCATGGAAGCTATTTGCAATTATTACAAAATATTTATACCTTTATGTTGGTTACACTTTAGAAGGAATTTTTAAGGTCTTATTCCTGCAGTTAAATAGTGTCTTCAAATTCTTATTTATTATCATTATTTGTTTATTTGTCCTTTTTATTGATGTATTATTTTTATAGATTTTTTTTTTTTTTTTTTTTTTTTTTTTTTTTTTTTTTTTATACATGAATCAAAAGGGTGGGCATTTCTCTCTCCCTTTTCTTAGTTTTTTTCCTGTCTATTGTAAGTAATCCATTTTGAACCCAACATTACAAGGCAGACTTTGATTACTATAGCAAATAGAAAAGAGTTGCAGCTCTGGCCAAATTTTTGTAGCTGAGCAGTAGCGCACCACTGCCTTCCATTATTTAATGGTGTATGTAGTTTGCAATAGTTCATGTAGATGGAATGAAATAAAGACATAATCATGCAGTATAGTAGAGCAAGTGAGCCATAGTTTGTGTAGATAAACTAAAACAAGTCATGTAATTGGACCATATTGGGGATGCAGCCATGGGTGTCATTTCAGTTTTTTCTTGGGGGAGTAAAGGCAAGTAGGCGAGCAAAGCGAACAAAGCAAACAAAGATTTAGAAAAATAAACTATTCTAGGGGCATTTTTAAG